GGGATGCTTTAGGGCGGGGCTACACGGTGATTGACAGGTCTCTCCCACGACATTGTCATTGTTTTTGTTTTCCAACTTTAATCCTTTCACAATGTGTTTTCACTTCATGAAAGTTAATTGTAACATTTTGGTCACCTAAAAAATCATAAAGTCTGCATTAAATTAATTGGTTTAAACCTGCAGAACGCTGGTTTTGTCCTTACAGATTAGTAACAGAAATCATAATGTATGTGTGAATCCAGTCATGTTAAGATGCAACATGGCGTCTTGTCTTCCAGAGGCGACCCGGACAGGTGTGACATCTGGGGCAACACACCGCTTCACCTGGCAGCTGCCAACGGCCACCACAACTGCCTGTCCTTCCTGGTGGCCTTCGGTGCCAACGTGTGGTGTCTGGACAACGACTACCACACGCCGCTGGACATGGCCGCCACCAAGGGACACATGGACTGCGTTCGCTACCTGGACTCCATCGCTGCCAAGCAGGTCACCCTCAACCCGAAGCTGGTCGGCAAACTCAAGGACCGGGTGTTCCGCGCCGCGGAGCGCCGGATCAAGGACTGCGCGAAGCTCCAGCGGAAGCACCGCGAACACATGGAGAGGAAGTTCATGAAGGAGTCGGCAGCTTTAGACAACTTGGATGCTATCAGCTTTTCTAGCTACACCAGCAGCAGCACACTGAGCCGCAAGTTCAACACCGTCACCTCCAACATGCCATACTCGCAGGTGGTTGTCCTTTGACTTTGTGTTGAAGTACACTATATCTCGTCACAGTTCAGTGTGTGTGTGAGACACTTTGGCAAACCTCAACGTAGCTGTAGGCGTTGATTGCTAATAAGATAATAGTTTTGTTTGAATAACGAAATGGACACATTTTACTGTCTGATCCAGTATAGATACTATTCACCTTAGTCCAGGATCATATTTCACTTCTTTAGAAAGACAAAGAAACCCTAATTTGCCTGGTGAAGTCAAGTTCTGTTTTGGTCTCAGCAACAGTGATGGTTTAACTTCATGTGGGTCTACCCATTCATGATCGACATAACTTTTTACTAATTCTTAATGTCTTATTCCCCTCAGGCCACCCTGCACTCCACAGCCAAGGGCAAGGCCAAGATACAGAAGAAGCTGGAGAAGAAGAAGCAGGTCGATGGAACGTTCAAGATCTACGAGGACGGGAGGAAAAGCGTGCGCTCGCTGTCTGGCCTGCAGCTCGGCAACGACGTCATGTTCCTCAAACAGGGCACGTACGCCAACGCCAAGGAGCGGTCGCGCCTCAACATCCGAGACATGTTCCCCCGCGACCACGACAACGGCGACGACACCGTCTCCCGTGCCATGAGCGAGCCGGGCCTCCACGAGGCCGCATATTCGGAGATTAGCGCCGACTCTGGACGCGATTCCCTGTTCACCAGACCCGGGCTCGGCACCATGGTGTTCAGGAGGACCTATTTGAGTGGAGGCATGTTTGGTATCGGGACACGGGATGAAGAGAGCGTCGTGGGGAGTGAACCGGTGGGCCGGGCACCGAATGTTCGTCTACGAGGAAATCTGGCCCGGCACTCGCCCAGCTTCGATGAGGACAGCATCGGCAGCGCCTTGAGCCTGCAGGAAAGAAACCTTCAGGAGTTGCCCTGGGAGGACAAGGATGTCGGGTTGGATGAGGACTTTGAGCCAGAGAACAGTCCTCTGGAGACCTTCCTGGCCTCTCAAAGCCTCAGCGAGGTCATGCCCATCTTCAGGAGGGAGAAGATCGACCTGGAGGCTCTGCTGCTTTGTTCGGATCAGGACCTCGCCAGCATTCACATCCCTTTGGGCCCCAGGAAGAAACTTCTGGATGCCTGCAAGAGACGTCTGGACACCATAGATGAACCAGAGGCCATTGAAGACACTGAGCTCTGAAGGTCAGTGTGGAGTAATACACGTTTTGTTTTAAATGGGAGGCACCACGCTCTGCTCTCAGATAAACCTTTGTTGTCTCTCATAAGCTACTGCTTTTGCATTTGCATATTGTATAGATGATAAAGCTGGGTGTCGTTTAAGACATTACAATGCCAGTACCCTTAAAATGATACTGATACCAACTGAGTACTTCATACGGTACCAACACGGTTCCACCCAACTCCAACCAGAGCACAGATCTACCTGTGTGACCCTTTTTTACCGGCTAAATGGCTCCATCTAGTGGCGACCTGTGATATAGCGAGAGGCCTGAAAGTCATTTTAGTGTCATTACACATTATTGATCAGAATACAGTCATACATGACATTGTTTTTTCCCCATTTATTTACAGGATAACATGACACCCTGTACTGTTATTACCCTGCAGTACAGTCAGTGGAGGAAACATGGAGTCAAGGCATCTGACCGGAACTTGGAAAAGACGTAATGAACATTTCATGGGAAAGTTTTGCCACATGTAAAAACACACGAACACTGTCCAATGAATCTTAGCCTGACTTGTTATTGTTGCATACTGTATTGATTCATGTTTTATCAATTTATGATTGTACTTAACCCTTTGAACATACTGTTTATTATGTCTTCATTGTACAGCTGTCTCACTGTAAACATGTTATTTTACTCCACGGCACATACACAATGGTGACTCTTTAATATTGGGAATCGCTAACGGACTGACTGCTCTGCAAACACTGATGCAATAGTAAAACACACGATGTGCTGGTGCTGTGAGGTTATGTCAGCGTGTGCTAGATAACACTGTTATATCTCACGTTGCTGCGGGGCGTTTGTGGTTTCACTGAAGGTCTGTCTGTCTGTGCACTTGAGAGAACTGTTTTTGTATTTGAAGATGTACCCACAACAATAAGTATCTTTTTTATTATAATAAAGTGAAATTATTATTGTTTTGCGTGTGAATATATGTTGATCTAACCAGCCTGTCTTTCTCTGGTGAATTTTATATATCTATATCTATATATATATATCTATCTATCTATCGATCTATCGATCGATCGATCGATCGATATATATATATATCTCTATAGATACATGTGTGTGTATATATATACATGTGTGTGTATATATATACATGTGTATATATATACACATATATCTATAGAGATATATATATATATATCGATATATATATACACGTGTATGTATACACATGTATATGTATACATGTGTGTGTGTGTGTATGTGTATATATATACATACACACACACACACACACAGGCTCTCACCTGGGCCAACTCATAAACACACCCCAGCTATGAGGGCACATTCTTGCTCAGCAGCATCTTCTCCCCCCCCCCACGGTGAAGAATCAGCTGCTGTTAATCTACCTCCTTTCTCCCTCTCCTTTCCCAGGACATTTGCCAAGGTTACAGAGATGGGGAGAGGGGAGGAGAGAGGAGGGGAAGCTGTCACAAAGAAACACTAGAGGGTGAGCAACATGCAGAATGTATGAGACACCAGAGAGGAAGGAGAGAGAGAAGAGAAGTGAACTCTCTGGAGCTGAGCAGCTGCAGTTTTGTGAGGCTGTTCTTGAAAAAAAAATTGAGGATTTCCATCCCATCACAGGGCAAAGCTTCTACATCTGTGGGTCGTGGGACAATAAATCTCATGGCTGCTGGGTTGCAGCAGGAGTCAGCTGACAGAGGAAACAATAGTAAGAGAGATGAGGGAGGAGGAGGAGAAGGAGGGTGCACGGGGCCTCTTGAAGCAGCAGGATATAGGGGGCTGGCCCTGTCTGACAATGCTTTCTCTTTTTTTTGCTAAGAAGGGCTTTCGCAATGCTAACTTTGACCCGTGGACTCTGTGCTTAGGGGGCAGCCGTGTGCTGCAGGCAGCGTTGAGCACCGGCTTCCTCGCAGGAGGACACAGAACGACTGCGTGGTGACTTCTTGGTTCCCTCAGCATGCAGAACGTACCGGAGGAGTGGAGGGAAGGACGGGACGAGAGGACGGGGGAGGTGGTGTCGGCCCGGGGCAAAGCGGATCCGGAGGTGATGAAGAAGAAGAATAACGGTGAAGAGTCTCTGATGATGGAGCTGACCAGGCTGGTGCAGGAGACGGTGAGGCGGAGCAGCTGGTGGGAGAGGAGGGGGATCGATTGTAGCATCCTGGCAGCAGCATTCCTCTGTCTGCCTCCTGGTAAGACTCACTGAACTTCATGCATTTTTTTAATGCTTAAAAAAGTTAGAGACATAATAAGTTATCACGAAACTAGAACCACAGAAGGTGTTGTACCTTTAACTTCATGTTTTTGTGAGTTATCTCATGGACTAGTCACTGTGACCGAGACAGAAACATGCTCCGGCCCAAGGACTGCAGATAAAAGATACACCAACACATTTATATCATATTTATGTTCATTATTACCTTCTGTCCCTGAATGAACAAAGACATGCTGAACTTTCTCCAGCGGTAAAACATCTTGGATGTAGGAATATGTGCAAACATTAAAGATTTAATAAGCATATTATATTTAAATTTTCATCACTTTGAATATATAAAATCTTCTGCAATGCAGAATTTATAGTGCATTCAAATGTACAATTTCCATCACAAGATAATGTGTGTTTTTAAATTCAATTAATAGATTATTAAGATTCTAAACTGGCAGATAGAGAATAACAATCTCCACAAACCCAAAGTAACATTTTAAGATCGTCTGTCTAAAATAGGGCGAATGTTTGATTTTTGTGTTTTCTCGATTAATTGCTCGGTCTAAAAAACGTCCATCACAAGTCCCCAAAGCCCGATGTGATGTCTTCAAACTGAAGTCCAAAATCACAAAATTGAGTTTACTGTCAAAGAAGACAAAAAAAGAAACATAAAATATTCACGTTAGAAGATAAACCAGTCAAATTTTGCCTGCATTATTAATATATTATGACATTTTTGGCAAGTTTGTAATATTGTACATGGCCCCCTTACAAACACATTAAATTATATAAATGAACTCATCATTTCAGCCCTATAATTGTCTCATTAATTCATGTATGTCATCTGAAACATAATGAAAACACATTCCTCTCTACTTAAACTACAAACAGCTCTTTCTCCAACACTGTTGTCATGATTGGTTTACACATCCTCTATCTGGGTCACTGGTGCTGCTGACCTGAATTAGGACCAGTGCCTATTGTGACTCATGTCACTGGATCAGTGGAACTGACAGCTTTCAGCAGCACCACAGGACACCTGGTTCACGCTTGTAATCTAGACGCGTCAACGTGACTGCAGATTACCACAGCAGTGAGTTTTCCTCACATGAATCCCCGCAGTGTGTATCCCCGACTGGTAGTATGAGGCTGAATTTAGTCCGTGCAGCCTGAGGAGGCATCTGTCATTGTGTATCACAGAGCTTGTGACTTATCACCTCAAAATAGTCTGCTTTGAAATAGGAGGTGCAGTATATTTGCACATGTTTTATTCAGTTAGGAAAGAAATATAAGTCACTGAAACCTGTTAAGAGCCGGCCGGAGGAGCCTCATTGGCTGCTTGTGTTGCAGGTTTATTATTGTAAAAAAGTCCAATTCATTCTGCATTTCATTCATTCCTTTATTTATTCATATGGGACAGTGCACATTAATCAACATTTCAGTTTCCACCTCGATGAAAATGTGCCAGAATAGTCTTTATTCCTCGGGCAGGTTATTACAATATAGTGGCCTAAAATCAGACACATAGTACAAGACTCTATAGCACAATACAACACAAGACAATAGAATACATAAATATATTACAAAAGTAGAAGATTTGTAAGAGTAACTAAACCCCCAAACCCCTTTGTTCAGCTTCGTAGCGTTATTGATGGGTTATGTTTGTCATCAAACTGAATTTGCTGACAGGAAGTTTAGCTGTTAGTATAAATATTTTATCATTTGTGAATATTAGATTGATTGATCGGAGGCAGAGTTGAATTCAGGACAAAGTAATCGTAAGAAATGAACTGCAGAAGATGCTGATATCTGCAAACAACAGATAGGTGGAAAGACACTTTGGCCCAGAGTCGAATGTATAAATCTCTTATAAATGAATCCACTAATTGATTTAAATTGAGATTCCTGTGCTCTGTCTTGCAGCCTTCCTGCTGCTGGGCTCCTCTCAGGTCCTGTGGTTTTCGGCGGGCATGCTGCTGATGGGCGTGGCCCACGCTGTCATCACCTTCAAGGGGGCACATCTGGCCAGCCACGGGGCGCTGAGCGAGTCGCAGGCCTGGGAGAACTTCTGGGCCGTCTTCTTCATCGAGGTGAGATGGTTAAAGAAATAAACGGAAGGCTGTCATTTAACACCTGAGGCAAAGCTTCAGGGATTCATGGATCATTTATTGTCATTATACAACACAGAGATGCACAACAAAATTCAGTTGTAGTCCGTCTGTAACACAAAAAAAACACGACAAACTAAACAAAGACAGTAGGACATTCCTGTAGAGCTTTTTGGGGGATTTGCATCATAAGGAATGTAAACAACAGCAACAAAAACAATTCTCTGGTCAGATAACATGGCCGGCATCTTCACATTAATAATTCAACATGAGGAAAAACATTGTCCATTAACTCTGACTGTGTTTGAGCACCATGATGTAAACACAGAGTCCAGCTCTGCAGCAGCGTGCTTAAAAATACTAGTGCTGAAGTGCCCTTCAGCAAAGCGTTTAAAGAGTAACTGCACACTTGAACATGTTTCTTTAAGCTATTAACTGTGTCGAGGCCTTTGTCATACGGAAGTAGGCATTTGTTTTAAACTATGCAGTGGGTGGAATAGTTTGACATTTGGGGTAAAAAAATGTTTATTTGTATTCTTGCTGAGAGTTAGATGTGATGATTGTTACCACTCTCAGGTCTGTACGGTATAGCTGAGGCAGGCAGCCAATTAGCTTAGCTTAGCATGAAGACTGGAAACAGAGGGAGACAACTAGCCTGGCTCAAAAAAGTAACAAAATACTTATACCAACACCTTTAAAGCTCAATGAGTAACATGTTATGTCTCCTGTTGTTTAATCCATACAAACACAAAAAGACACTGGGGGGTCGTGTGCCGGACTATTTCTTGGCAACCACACAGTGACAACAAGACTCCAGGAAGTCGTTGCCCAGTACAAGAAATATGACCCCCTTGAGACAACACAACTTGTCTTTTCTTCACTTTGTTTGTTGTACAAATGAAACAAACAAGATGTAAAGTATTTAATAGTGAGCTCTAGAGCTGCTGGTAGGAAGGGCTTTTGTTTTGTAGGCCAGTTTCCAGTCTTCATGCTAAGCTAAGCTAACTGTCTGTAGCTTCAAATTCAGCGTACAGAGACGAGAGTCTTCTTGGCAAGAAATATATCAAATGTAACTTTCCATAATGTAAGACTATTTCCCTTTAACTCCCAGCTGTTTCAGTGCAGCTGCTCAGAGACCAGTTGTGTATTTGTATATATGTATTTATGTCTGTGGGGCAGCTGTGAATGTGAAGCAGTCTGAGGCCTCATGCTCAGAAAACCCTGCATTTAAATAAAGGTGAAAACAAGATAAGGTGACATAACCATTTACTGCCAGCCCATGTAGAAACAGAGTGAATGACGTGTTTAACGCTGTAAATCAGGTTGTTAAAGCAGTGTGTAGTGACACACTGCTTTAACAGTCAGTGAACTGTTGAACCTGTGACTTCGGATGTTTACTCAGCGTTCAGTTGCTTTTCATACTGCTGCTCTTTGCCCTCATTCTATTAGTGGCTGCTTATCAAAGCAAACAGAATAAAAACAAACATACAATAAATCTAGGAAGAAGTCTGTCGATATGGTTGATTTATGTGCTTCATCAGTGTTTTTTGTTGTTTGCATGTTTGGTAAAACATAGCCATCTGTGCCTGTGTTCGTCCACTCAGATCTGTGGCTCATTCTCAGCGCGGGCCGGCGTTCAAGGCCACATTAAGATGCACCACGCTCACACTAACGTCATTGGACTGGGTGACTCCAGCATATGGAAGGTCCCCTGCCTGCCTCGCTCCGTCTACCTGTTCATAGCTCCCCTGGCCGTGCCCATCATCACCCCACTTGTTGCTCTCGGTAAGAGGCGCCAAAAGGTCCAGAGAAGGACGGACGAGTTTATGAGTTTGCTCACATACTTCAACGTTAAACGTGATTATCAGCGTAAAGCTGAGATTTCTCACCCTCTGATCCTGTTCAAGCTCCCCTGTTACCTCGGCTCTCTCGCTTCGGTGTGAGTTTATTCTCACACATGTGATTCTCTGTTTTTTTTTTGCAGCTCATCTCAAAGGACACTCTCTGGCTCTCGTCGTTAGGACCGTCCTGATGGTGACACTGGGCCTGTATTCACAGTACTGGCTGCTGATCCACGTGTCCGGCTTCCTGTCGCCTCTCAGCGCTTTGCTCTGCATGCTTGTGTGCAGAGCAATGTTCTCTGTGCCGTACATCCACGTCAACATTTTCCAGGTGAGAAATACCTGCAGCAGGACAAGACGGCCTGCAGGTCTGTGAGGCACAGGGGGCAGCGTTGAGCTAAATGCTAACATGCTAATGTTTAGCATGTTCACCGTCTTAATTTAGCTTGGTAGCATGCTAACATTTGCTAATACAGGGCTGCAGGGCTGAGTCCTAAATCCCAGAAATGAGTCTGCATTTTTTGCAAAATAACAAAAAATGACCAATTACATAAAAATGTACCAAACATAAAGTAAAGCTGAGGCTGATGGGAATCCTTTTAGTTCTACAGATATCATCGTGGTGGACCAATTCAAAATGTTGACCCGATGATGGCGTTAGATGACCTTAAAGCTTCATGTCTGTACCAGATTTCATGCCGATCCATCCAATAGTCAAGATATATTGCTAAAAGCCCAAAAGGATGAAAAGTCCCGATCATCAAAGTCAGTAGGGCTCATCCTCTGGGGATCATGAATGTCTGTACAGTATGTCATGGCAATCCATCCATGTTGAGATATATATAAAGACCATGTGCTATGACCGAAAGCTCCAGAAGAGCCACTAAATGGTCGACTACTATGCTAAACACTAAATTTCCTCCAGATATAGCCAGGCATGTGAGTCCAGCTCTCACAGATTAAGTGAAGACTGCTCTTGTGACACAAACTCAATGCAGCATTGTGTTCTCAGAGATCAGACCAGTCAGTGAACTAAAGGGACATAAAAGGAACAATTCATGCATGATTTGTTCCCAGATGGAGTCTGAGTGCCGCAGGTCATTGTGCATTGTTCTGATCAAAGTCTGAGAAGGTGGATTAGAGAACGCAGGTTCTTGATGTGAAGTCAAGGGTCTAACAAGGGGGAACAAATGTTTGCTCTCACTGGGGGGTCACAATAGAAACCTGTTCTCTCCTGGATCCTAGTGCTGTCATTGGCTTTTGTCCTGTCTTTCCCCCCTGAACTCTACGTCCCAGCTGTACTTCTATCAGATGATAACCTTGACTCTGGTGTCTCATTTGTAAACATTGTGTACTAAAGCTTCCTTTATATAAGAAAACACACTTTATTTTGTATTCATGCAAGCAGGGATGGTTTTGTTTTGGTCCATCGATGCCAAAAAAATCCAGTTCAGGTGGCAACATCCGTTTCTACAAAGTGAAGCCGATGCTTCGTCTCTTAAAGCTGCATTCTCTCTAGTTTCCACCAGGGGGCGACTCCTCTGGTTGTATAGAAGTCTATGAGAAAATGACTCTACTTCTCTCTTGATTTATTATCTCAGTAAACATTGTAAACATGAGTTTATGGGCTCAATCTCTAGTTTCAAGTCTTCTTCAATACAGCATGATGTTCATTTAGTACATTATGGTCCATTTAGAGTCAAACAGACCATAAAGCAGGGGATTCTTAAGTTTGTCCCACTTGTTTATTTGAATCACAAATAAACAATGAAGTTACTTTGGGGAAAATAAGTCAGTAGCCACTGGGCGTTAGCTAGCTCTGATAAGCTAACAAGCTAGCTAGTTTTGTTGTGATCAAATTTATTCAAATTACCCATCTTAATGTACCACTAAATAGTTGTTTAGCTTAGTGTGTCCCTCATGTTTCATGGAAGTCACAAATAATGTTGAAGTTATTTGACAAAAAGAGAGTTAGTTTGAACCCAATGCATGGCCACTGACTTGACTAAAACGAACAGGACAATAAAGTCAACGTGTGTTCCTGTTCTGAGAAAACCAACCACGTGTCTTCAGACTCTACAGAGACATTGAGCGGCCCTGAAGGCACAAAGTTCAGGATATGTAACTTTGTTTGTGGATATGTAGATCGGGACAAATCTGCACAACAAACCCGCAGTTTCATCTGAGATATTAAGGGTCTTGAGACCTTGTCTTTTGGAGACATCTTGTTTCAAAATACAGTTTAAGACCTTTATTTTTTATTTTTAGTACATATTCCTAATTAAATCTGTCTTTAATCAAATTACTAAGAAATTAATTTCACAAGCCAAACCTGAAACATAACACGACTGTATATACATTGTGTATTTCATTCTTTCCCATTAAATAATCAATGAAGTATACAGAACTGCTCTGTTCTTTGTTTGTTGTTCAGTAAATAACACCAGGAATGTAATTAACGTGTTGTTTTCAGCAGTTTACGTACTATATATACTGTATATGATTGCCCATAGACATTTAACCAAAGTGAAACTGTGTTATCGGCAGCACATCGGCCTCCAAATGTTCTCTCCCACCAACCGACCAAAGAGGATCTACCAGATGACCCACGGAGTCCTGAACCTGCCCCGTAACCCTCTGCTGGACTGCATGTTCGGACACTCGCTTATCAACTGTCACGTGGAGCACCATCTCTTCCCCTTCCTGTCTGATAACATGTGTCTAAAGGTACGTTTTTAAACCCACAAATCATTATATATTATCAGTTTCCACACTCTCAGTGCACATCTATTGGGTTGTTTTTGCACACAGAGGGAGATTTATGATTTAGGCCACAAAACAGGGAGAATTGTTGAGTTCAGGTTCAAGAGTTCAGAGTTAGGAACAAACAGGAAGCCACTTTGTCGTCCACTACAATTGATCCTTTGACTTTAAAGGCAATATATGAATGTATTGGCATAAAATAATGTCATAGATACAGTGATTACCTAGCAAGTTATTCATAAATGTAAAGTAACATGTATGAAGTATAACTAAAGCTTGCCTTTCCTAATATTAACAATAATTACCACATTTTACTGGATAACTATGCAAAGACATTGGTAAAAAAAAAGAGTTTGTACTAAAGAGGCAAATACGGTACATCATGTTATAAATAGATCTGAACATAAACATGACAAAACAAACCATTTAGTAGCTGCTCTGGAGCTTTTAGCATTTTCTTTCTTAGGAGATAATTACAATAAAGTTATAAGTAAAGTTTTCCCAGCCGTACCTTCCATTTATTCTGAACAATTTAATTTGTAGGATTTGGCGGCGTCTTGTGGTGAGGATTCAGATTTAAACTTACTGAAACACGAAAGTCTCTCTCTAAGTTCGGTTTGTCCGTTCTGGGCGACAGTAGAAACATGGCGGACTCCGCCATGTTATAAACTAATTCTAATTCTAGGTAACGAAAACATAATCCCATTGACTGTTTGTGGAGGGTGATGCTAACTTCCTGTTGGACTACAAAAATATCCATTCAACCATTCAATGGTTTCCTAGAAATCACAGTTAAACATGAGTTTTTATCTTTTTTGTGTGTTGTATATGTTTATTGTTTTGGTCTGTGGTCGTGTATGTACTTCATTTAATTTGTATCTTCTATGTCAACTTGATATTGACATCTGTGATTGAAATATTTGTCTTAACAATATACTATTAATCATAAATAATAGAGTCTAACCTTGTAAAACTGACCCCGAGTCGTGTCTTCCAGGTGAAGCCCGTTGTGTCCAAATATCTGACTGAGAAGCAGCTCCCATACCAGGAGGATGGCTACGTCTCCCGCCTCACGTTGTTCTTCCACAGATACCAGGAGCTGATGGTGTTCGCTCCGCCCATCACAGAGCTGGTGGGGGTGCAGTGATGACGAGTGACGAAGAAGAACTGTTCGTTCTGATGCTGCTGCTGCTGCTGCTCCAGAGGAGCAAATATCGAGTTTAATCAATAACACTTTAAAGATTTACTTAATCTGATATTAGGAGATAAATGAATTTATCTTTTTTTAAATAATATGAACTGAATGAATGTGTTTCAGTTTGATAAATAGCACAAAGCTCAACCAAAAGCTGACTTGATTGTGTTTAATGGGCGCTGCATTAAAAGTCACAGAGGGAGAAGAATCACTGATCTGGGGTCTGTCTCATGAAGATCAGTCTGCTGGTCCTAACTGGCTTCACAAAGATGGTTTATGAGACACTCATTCATTACAGCAGTGAAAATACTACTACACTAACACAGCAGTAGAATATATACAACAGAAATATAAAGATAATACAGGAAACGCGTGTGTACATTTACATTATGTTTAATAAACTTTTTGTACAATGAGAATAACTTATTGGCATTTTTCAGAATACAATTTACAAAGCTGAAGTCAAATCAAACCAAATATTGTGCTTCAGAATACACAGGAAAGTCCAACTTGTTTTTAAAATAAGAAAATCATAAATAGTAACATGATATTTCACTTTAAAGGAAATAGTTCAGATGGTTAGTCTATGTTTCGTTTGATTAATCACCAGACAGACAGAGAGTATAATTGATTTTTGTTTTTAAAATGAACTGAAACATGCTGTTTTGCGTTAAACATCTGACCCTACTTCACGAGACAGGCCGTTGTTGTTGTTGTTGTTGTGTCCTCAGCTCAAAGGCTCATTCTTGACTGTAGTTACAATTCATAAACACATCGAGGCGTCTGTGTTTTTTATCTCTCTGAGAATAATTTTTAACATGAATTAAATGTTGTTTTTATTTCCTCAATCGTCACATTGTCTTATATTCAAACGCCTGCGCTGCCAATATGACGTAGACATAGACGTAGGTCGTATACGTAGATCGGACGCACGGTTGTTGAGAAATGTTTTTGTTTTATGTGTGAATTGCTTTTGTTAAAGATTTCACATAAATACGAAAAACCTAAAAAGATTAAATCAAATGAGACAAATAAAAAAATATAAATTCAAATATGTTCTTCTACAAAAGAAGGAAGGAGCCCCGTCTCTGATTGGCTGAACACACATGTGATTAATCACATGACCACATGACAAACGTTGCTCTGTGAGTAGTTCATGTGTCTGTTTTTTATCTTGATGATTCACTCAATATTTGCATTTTCACTGGATTTCCCTCTTGGACTTCGGAGCAGCAGCAGTGAGAGAGGAAGCAGAGGGGGGGGACTCACTGCTGCCGCTATGATTTCATCAGTTTCATCATAACAACAGAGTCCGTCAGTGTTTTACAAACAATTAAAAGTAACAGCTCATGTTTAAACACAATGCATGATGGCGGAATGCAATTCTACACCTCTCTGCTGTTCGTTGGGGCTCCACCCCGTGGCTCCTTTCTTTCTCCTCCAGGGAAAGGGGAGGGCAGTGATCGAGTGTGTGTGTGTGTGTGTGTGTGCTGAAGTGGGCGGAGAGCTTTTTTCTCTGTCTGTAACTATATGGGCCTCCTTCACATCCTCTAGGTGTGGCTATCCAGCCTCTTCAGTGTGATCTAGGAACTACCGGCTGACAGAAGTGGCTGAGCCAGTTGTGTTTTTCAGACAGAGGGAGAGAGAGAGGAGGTGGAAGTGACAGACACACTGAAGACATGGCAGATCCAGCAGCTGAAGAAGCAGCTCCCGTCCCCAAACAGCAGAAGCTGTGCTCAGGTGTGCTGAGCATGGACAACTCTGACAAAAGCCAGGGATGCCCCCCTGAGTGTCTGCAGAGCCCCGACAAGCCTGAACCAGCCGACGGCCCCAAACAGAACGGCACAGAGGCTGTGATCGGGAGCAAAGAGGAGCAGGACCCTAAGGGGGCGGAGGAGACCAAGATCCAGGAAGATCTGAAGGAGTCAGAAGACCCCATGAAGCCCGAGGAAGAGCCACAGACAGATGTGGAGGTGGAGAAGGTAGCAGAAGAGGAGGCCAAGGAGGAACCTCTGGGCCCCGACGACGTGGTGTGCGACTCGTGCATCGAGAGCCCCTGCAGGGCCGTCAAGTCCTGCCTCACCTGCCTGGTGTCCTACTGCGAGGCCCACCTCCGGCCTCACCTGGAGAACCCGAAGTTCCACAACCACCGGCTGGTGGAGCCGCTCAGGGACATCGAGAGAAGGACCTGCGAGAGCCACAAGTGGCCCCTGGAGCTCTTCTGCTGCGCCGACGAGTGCTGCGTCTGTCAGGACTGTGTGACGGAGGAGCACAAGGGCCACAACACGGTCCCCGTGGTGGAGGCTCGCAGTCGGATCGAGGCGAGTGTCTTTTCTCATGTTCTGTATTATTACTTCCATCAGAACTCCTCAAAGCTGCATCTTCATACATATACATATATTAAGTTTACATTTAATCTTCTGATTAGTTTATTAATAACAAGATGGAGCTGTGTACTGTCAGCTGTGTCCTGTTTGAGCGATATTTAGTTGAGTTGTCCGGTATTTCAACAAAGCAGTCAGAAAAACAGAAACGTTTGATAAACTGGGTTTCTATTAAAGTCCATTTCCACCACTGAGATGAAAAAAAAGATCCTGTAAGTCATTTTAATGATGAACTATCTAACAATAAGGAGGTATTATCTCAAAATAATGTTAAACTTTAACATTAATTTGAGATATTAAGTCAATAATTTGTGATACTAAATCAATTTCAGATACTAAGTTATGATTTACAACATTTTGGCATCTAAATTATACTGTATAATGATTATTATAGTCATTAGTCGCAGCAGTACATTCTCAGATTACACACCAAGTCTCCAGTGTGGTTTTGTTATCTGATTGCTTTCATGTGTTATTGATTTATTTTCATGTGTGGTAAAGGTAGAGGCCATTAGAGTTTCAGCAGACACATGAGGGCGAAAATGATTCTCGTTGAAGAATAAATAGTTTTTCAACATCAAAAGGACAAAATATCACAACACTGGTGTCATTAGTTTGCCGTAATCCTTAAATCTTACCCACAATGTTGCTTTCACATATTTAGAGAGAGAGAAATATAGATAAATATAGTGAGATTTGACAGATGTAACCTTCAGCTCCAGAGGAAAGGAGATGAACTCTGTCTTCAAAATGAATCACAGTTGTTCTCACTTGTCCTATAATGCCACTTTGATCTCTTAAAACCCAATCAGGACAGTAACTCTGCCTTAACATCCGCTGTAAAGCTCGTGATTAACAAGATATTTTGGCTTTCCAGCAGTCTGGAAACTCAATACTGAACTTTGTTCATCCCCGCTGATGCAGACAAAAGCTCCAGCTTCAGCTAAAGTGTCATTTGCCTCTCTGTTTGACGGTTCAGGACTCTCAGGTTCAACCTCTCGGGCCCAGATTCCTGCAGAGATCCGTAGCGTTTAGCTTACACCTGTTGTTTGCACAGTGTGTTGTTTGCAAAAACCTCAAAGTGCTTCATTAGAGCGGTAAAGCAAACAGTGTTGGGAGGCCGATACAGACTGTAAGTGGAAATGCCACAAAGTCTACTGGCACCGCTGCATTCACTGAATAAAAGAAGCTCTAGCTGTGTGTGAACAGAAAACAAGAAGGGAAATACTGTCACTTATAATGTCAATAGATTCTATTAAAGTGGAAATGAACTTGCAGTTTTCAGATCTCAATCGCTTCCCTTTTAAAGAGAACAGACATGAAAACATGAAGACAATGGAGTGAAATCACTTCCTGTTCAGAGCTGATGTTCCACAACTTTAAAATCCTCCTTTTATAGAACTCATGATACAACTCACACCTCTGTTTCTACTCATTAACACTCATACGATTTCTTTTGGACAGATCTGTTAAACTTCTCCTCAAAGAATCACACAAAAGCACCACTTTAGATCTCGTGTTTACCAGAGATGTGCTCATAGGTTTCCTGGAAACAGTTTTTCTTTCCGCTGCACATAAAAACATTACGTTTCTCAAGCTACAACCAGGAAATGATGTCCTATTATTATTATTATTATTATTATTATTATTATTATGATTAATAAACTATTGTTATTATTATGGACAAATATAGGTAGTAATACAGTTTTTATTCGACCCCTCGCTAAAGTGATAAAGACCGACCGGGCTTTATACAAAAGTGTTGTTCCTTAATGTCATTGTCTTCTGTCTGCTTCCTGTTTTTCCAAAGATTACATGACATTTCTCTTCAGTGCAGTTAGTGACAGTGTGTGCTCCATGGTAACGTAGGCGGGGCTTAGCGAGGAGTCATTTGAGTCAAACAGTCAAAACTTGAGAAACTGGTTAAAAATTATTTGTTTTGCGGTGGATAGAATATTTGTTTCATCGAGATGTTTTGAAGAGTTTTCGAAGATTCCGACTTTCTGAGTTTTCTTTTCAAACTGTGACAAAAACATAATGCTAATACTCAAAATAACATAAACCATAGCTACTTTACTGCCACAATCAAATTCCCTCTTTACACAAAAGATGAGCAACTGGTTTAACCTATAATTAAATAAACATAACTGTCACAGTGCCAATCAATGCTTTACCTGTTTAGCATTGTAGTATTTCGAGCGGCGTTAGCTTCACCGAGCTTCTGCTTCGGCCTCGTGTGAAACTAAAAATCATCTGAGCTTGAACTGATGGATAAGAACTTGTCAAAGCCAAGTTTGTGACCTGTTGAGGCAGATACAGATCTGATTATGTAGATATTATTCCAACCGAATACCAACCTGGCTCTGTCAGAATGTTTTCTATTACACATTTTACATTTTACTTTGAAAATATAAAGATATGAATCCACTGAGTCCAGATATGGGCACAAAAGCTCACGAATGTTAAGTTTTCTAAACTTAGAAAATTAAATATTTGGAGAAAATGTTATTGTATACATCAAAAGATCATCTGCTAATAAATTAATATTGCTTCTTAACTGTATGAATTATTATTATGTGTATGACAGAATTAATAACATATCTATCATAACTAAAACGTCTTCTTCTTCTTCTGCATGTTCTATTGTTGTTACAAAGAGGAGAGAGGAAAGCTGTCTTGGCCCTCTCTCAAAATGACATTCCTCAAACAATAGGCTGAAGGGTATTTATAAATAAAATACTTTTATGAATGTTAGGCTCATAAAGACAGACGTGAGGCCCTGTCACACAGTCTCAAGCAAAGGATTCTCCCTCAGGGTCTAAAACTTACTGGAAAGGAATTCTCTTTGAGTACAGGGAGCCGTCTGAACCTGCCCGAGGAATTCAGACTTGACTCTTAAAACAAGTCCACGCTTTGAAAACTACAAATGTAAAGAAAGAGTGTAGGATAGGATGTGTGACCATCATGCACAGAGAGTAGGGGAAACTAGGAAACAAACTGCGTTTTCCTAAAGAAACAGCCCAAATGTTTATATCTGCCAAATACTTTACATCTGTTAGGATCGGGCATATTTTCGGCATGACTGCATGGTTGTGGTTTCTGTGAGGACTCGTGCTGAATTCTGTTCTCTCCTCGTGTTCACAGAAGGAACTGAGAGAGAAGCAGAGCGAGATGGTGAAGACGGTGACGGCAGGAGAGAATGCCATCAACAAACTTCAACTCAACACGGTCTCTATCGAGGTAAACACACCGTGTGACTAATCTGGGTGTCACATCACTGACACAACACTTCATTAAAGGAGACATCATGCTTGATTTCAGGTTCATACTTGTGTTTCTGGTTTCTAGTACAACACATTTACAGGCTTTAATGTTCCCAAAGACATTTTATTGTTCTCATACTGTCTGTCTGAATATACCTGTATTCACCCTTTGTCTGAAACGCTCCGTTTTAGCGCCTGTCTCTTTAAGAATCCCTCCCAAAAATAGAAATAAAGTTGAAGTAGAACAGACGCTGTCCAGTCTTTCACCATGCTTTAATGTTACACCGGTTACAGCACATGTAGAAATGTGCTCTCCTACGCTGAGTGTGTGGATGAAGCAGTACGTTGTTAAATTGTACTCATTTGCTCTGGCTCTCTACACTTCTTAACATTACTACTCCACTCCTCGTTTTAGCAGTTTTACCAGATACCCAGCTGTATGTGCACAAGCAGTGAAAAAGGGAGTTTTTCCACATGTCCTCATTAGTTAGATAACAGTTGGCAGCAGCTACTTTTGGCTTGAGAAGCCACCAGCCTGTAGCCTGAGGTGTGGGATGGTTTTCATGTGGTGGTGAGGCAACAAAGCATTCCCTCTCTGAGCTTGTGGTTATGCAACATTACCACGTCTCCCGATGAATTCCCCCAACCTGCTACCTGTCAGGAGCTTCAGATATGCATCGCTTCTTCTCCCAGAATGTAAAGAATGCTCAGTCCACACAATCTGCTCTGAACTATTCCACAGCATTCGGTGATGGAGGTACGGGCGGTGATCGAGAGCCAGTTCGAGGAGCTGCAGGCCGTGGTGGAGAGGGCGAAGCGGGAGGTGACGGAGATCCTGGAGGGGGAGGAGAAGCAGGCACTGAGGCAGGCCGAGGGCATCCGGGTTCACCTGGAGCAGAGGTGCACGGAGCTGAAGAAGACTCAGGGGCAGATGGAGAAGCTCTCCAAGAACAAGAATGATGTGGACTTCTTACAGGTAACACCACCGGGGTCAAGTCGCACCCAAAGACTTCTAAAATCCTCATGTTCTCATCCCTCTGTTATTGTGTAGAACAATGACCACAATACAAGTGCAGATAAGTACATGAACACATATACGACCCAAGAAATTGTACAAAGTAAGACAGGGATAAACAACAACAATTCAAGTAGAAGTAATTATAAATGAACAAATAGTTATTTAAATAGATTATTACTATGTATACGTGTGTGTGTGTGTGTGTGTGTGTGTTCTTATCCCTGTGTTTGTCCTACAGGAGTATTCAGAGTGGAAGAAAGAGGCCACTGATATCTCTCTGCCTGGCGTCTACATCGGCCTGGCGGACCGTCTGAACTCCTTCAGCCGCGTGATCGTCGACTCCACACAGGAGCTGTGTGCCATGCTTGTGTCTTCATACATAGAGAAGGTTAAAGAGACGTGCAAGAATGGTGAGAAAAAAGAAGCACAAATGAAGCACTGAATTACGGATGTAATAGTTGTTTTACAGCTATTAAAGCTATTAAGTTGTTTGCAGCCGTGGGGAAGGAGTGGGTATTCCTGTAGAACATGACAGGAACGCCCCCTGCTTTGACTGGCTCGTGGGTTAGAGGAACGCCCACTTTTTCTTCTTCTCTTCTTTCTCGATGAACAGCTGTGTCTGTTATTATCGTATGTACTTCAGCATAAAGACACACAAAAAATGACAGAAAACAAAGATGAGCTTTAATCGTTCATGGTGGCAGTTCATGCAAACATATTTGTATATCGTGAATCTCTGCATGGCCACCTCACCAACGGCTAAAAGGGCAGCCGTACTACTTCCTTTACAATTGTGCTATGTTGCTAAAAACATAAGAGAATAGATTTAACAAAGTTCAAAGCTCCACTAAACGTTTTGCATCAATGGATGTTGAATTGTTTGCTTGAAGCCAACTAGCTTCGTTTGGCTATCTAGTTGAATTTATTGCTAGAATCTAACTAGCTTTTTGTGTAGAAAGAATTGGTACAAATGACTTACGTTAACGTCATACTATACAATTAATGACCTTAGTTTGCCCCACTTATTTCATTAAAGTCACAAATGATTAAAGAATCTGACAAAAACTGAGTTAAATTGCACTTACAATAGAATGCATAGACACTGATTTGACTGACATGAACAGGACAATAAAGTTACTCTGCAAAAAATACAAACAAAAGACAAAGTCAATAGCTACTGGGCGTCCGAGGTGATTCATGGGCGTACCCATCACGCTCCGCAGGAATCCCTCCTGGCTGCATTCAGACTGTCTGAACCTGTTCACATTTGTGAAGAGTGTCCAGCCTGTGTGTGACAGCTTTGAGTGGTGTGCAAAGATGCAAATAGTTACAGTACAAACACCTGTGTGCTTCATGACTCACCTCCTTTGTGTGTCACCTACAGAGACTGAAAGACAGCACACCCTTGTTTTCCCTGTGATGTCAAAATTACACACAAATGAATCTAAACTGCGATGTGATATCAGAGACTGAAACTATACTTTCTTCTATTGCAGACAAAATGGGAATAAAGACGACCGTTCATGAAATCATTGCAGCGAAACATAACATGTCTTTACCAGATCCAGTGACACATGCAGACTTCCTCAAGTGTGAGTGTTTTTTTAATATTTCGGATATATATTTGCCACTGGGCAGATACATGGTCTTGATTTTATCTGCATGTATGTTTGTATGTATGTGCATTAAAGTCTAAGTTTTGACTCCTATGAGATGAAAACAAACAAAAGAAACAATGTGGAGGATTTGATGTCGGTGACCTCAGTGGTGTTTGCCCTCCTGACTGCAGTCATAACACTTACAACACAACTAAACAAACGTTTTTCACAATCCTCTCCCAGATGTCGCCCACGTGAGTTTCGACGCCGACACCGCTCACAAGTTCCTGAGGCTGACGGAGGAAAACAGGAAGGTGACTAATACCACGCCCTGGCAGCATCCTTATCCAGACGTACCTGAGAGGTTCGAGAACTGGCGCCAAGTCCTGGCGACGGAGAGCTTCTATCTGGGGCGTCACTACTTTGAGGCGGACATGAGCGGCGAGGGCGCGCACGTCGGCCTGACCTACAAGAGCATCGACCGCAAGGGCAGCGAGAGCAACAGCTGCATCACGGGGAACAACTTCTCCTGGTGCGTCCAGTGGAACGGGCGCACCTTCTCGGCCTGGCACAGCGACGTGGAAACCCCTCTTACCGTAGAGAAGTTCACGCGTATCGGGGTTTACGTGGACTACAGCAGAGGCCTCCTGGCTTTCTACGGCGTGGACGACACCATGACGCTCATCCACGAGTACAAGGCGGAGTTCCTGGAGCCTATTTATCCGGCTTTCTGGTTGTCCAAGAAGGAGAACGTAGTCGCCTTGGTGGCACCAGGGGAGCCGCTACGGCTCAAAAGCCCCTCTCCTCCCACCTCACCTCCCATTGGAGCTATTGTTTCAAAGATAGCAGCATAGCAATGATTACAAGTCAGTTTTCCCTGCATCAATTCAACAATATGCGACTACTGTTGTTTAAAAAGTTTGTCCCCCAATGATATGGAACATATGGACTGTCTTCTCATATTAAACCTGTTTACATCATGTCTTTTTGTAGAACTAATGTGATCAATTGTGAATGTTTATCTTGTATAGTTGGGCTCAAATCATATTTATACCCCTGTGTACCTTTGGGACTTCTGTTACTTTTCATCCCACTGTGAATTCAGAGGTGTTCTGTATGCAAATTAAAATTTGTATCTTCATTTGCAAAAAAGTGCATCTGTTTTTGTTTTAGTTCAAGCTTCCCGACGGCATGAAATCAAGAGGCTCGGTTGAATAATTTGTGTGATCATTTGTGCTTCTGTTATTATGGATTTCTTTGGAAATTCATCTTATGGATGAACGACAAATCTGCCACCCAGACCACAAAAAAATGGACGGATAAGCTGGGAGGTCATTTTGTCTGTTGCTTGCATCAGAAAGTCGTAGAGTCATGGCTGAAATAATCAAATAAAATTGACTTAAGAAAAGCCTAAATCTATGAGACGTTGTAGTCACAGGTTACCATGGCCCTGAACATGTCAGAATCACATTATGTAGTTAATTTATAGGTTCAAGGTAGAATTCATTGCAATGGCTTGAAAGTAAGAAGCAAAAACAGGTACAACGATGTACAAAGACAGTAAAATACCATAATATTTAGTAGTGTAACGGAGCAAACTGACGGTAAGATTGTTGACTACTTATGTGCAATGTGATAGAAGACACATGAACAAATTAATGTGGAAACTTGGATTAATTCTTCATATTATGAAAAAACATTAAAACCAGATGTTTTTCCACCGTTTTATTTTGAAAATTATAAAATATCGATGTGATACAAACATATAAACATATTAGTTCTGAGATATAATATGTAATAAACACAAAATGTAAACACTCCAATCAAACTATGAACCTCTGCTGTGACGTAACAATACACGTGGCACGCTCTGGTCACATGACCGCCGTGGACGGTGACGTATTTCCGGCTGAGCATGTAAACCAAGAGAAGAAGAGCCAGCTCGAGTCTCAACATGCTAACGGAAGTAAGTGACACTTTTTTAAAGATTATCTTTCAACTACCAAATAACAATATGTCAAACTGACAACGTAACGTCCTCTAAAAAGGCTAAATACAGTAAATGAGCTCGTGAACACGAAGTATTCCTCAGCTGTAAGCATCTGTCGCGCTAACGTTGATGAGTTGTTAGCTAGCACGCTAGCTTTAGTAGCTATTTACATTTCTACACAGCTAACATTAGCTTAGCTTCACGTTTACAGAAACCACACGGCAGTAAAGCTTTCTTATGGTAAACATATGTGACTGTTTATTTTCTGCTGTCATTCAAACTGAGTCTCTAATAGTTGGCTAACGTTAGCAAGTAGCTTTAACTAGTGTTTGTGTGTCAGCTAATGCTAGTTAGCTAGCTACATATATATATATATATACTCGTACTTTGCATCTACGGCAACACTCTTGTTGAGCAACTTAAAATTACCGTTTTATATGTCACGTTAATGTTTAATAGTCATGTTTGATTTAAGCAAACTAATGTTTCAAACTGGATTAAGCTAAGCTAGCATTTAACAGTTAGCAACCTATGTAACCAAAGTTAGCAATAACATGACGCTTGTGAACTCATGAAATACTTTCATACACATTTTTATTCCACTGATAACAAACGGAGAGAATACAAAGAGTATAATAGCGAAATATTGTAAGTAAAGGGGATTTTAATTATGACCCGGATTCTTGATTTAAACATGCTGCTGTCATTCAAGCTAATGTGACCCATGACTAGTGTGTGTGTATGTAAGTAAAGATGAAGCTTCATTTGGCTGGCTTTGTGTCGTGAGTTTCTGAAGGTTTCTCTGCTTCCTTATTGATCCCTCAGGATACCAACGATGAAGACGTGTCTCTGTTTGATGCAGAGGAGGATGCTGGGAATAAGTCAAAGAAGACTAATATTAAGTGAGTTCACAGAGGACTGACGCTCTAACCGTCTCTCATTGCATTTAAACTTCAAATAATGTTTTCAGCTTCTCAAATGTGCTGATCTGCTTCTGTTCTCAGTCATATAATGTATCATTCTGAGTATTTACTCCAGTAAAAATACTTACTGTGAAAATACTACAAAATCTATAAAAGTCCTGCATTTAAAACCATACTCAAGTAAAAGTATTTTGCTTAAAGTATCAAAAGTAAAAGTACTCACTGTGCAGTGAAATGGTCTCTGTCAGTGTTTGAACTATTATAAATGAAGTTTTTAGATTAAAATTACTGGGGCATTAATATGTGTTTCATTTTACTGATGTAGATGTTTATATGTACCTCTTAGATGTAGTACAGTAAAAAGTACACTATGTACCTCTGAGATGTAGTAGAGTAAATAGTACAATATGTACCTCTGAGATGTAGTAGAGTAAAAAGTACAATAAGTACCTCTGAGATGTTGTAGAGTAAAAAGTACAATATGTACCTCTGAGATGTAGTAGAGTAAAATGTACAATATTTAGTTGCAGCCCACCAGTACAGTATTAGTTGTTCTATCGTGTACATTAAATATGCTCAGCATTATATTAAACATATTGAACTCTGCTTCCAGACATCCACTGGCCTCCTTCTTCCACCTCTTCTTCAGAGTCAGTGCCGTCCTCGTGTATCTGCTCTGTGGGATCTTCAGCAGCAGTTTCATCGCCTGCATGGTCACTATAATCCTTCTGCTCTCGTGTGACTTCTGGACAGTAAAAGTGTGTCTTTTTGACTTCTTTCACAAGATGCATCTCTACAGTGCTGATGTGAAGCTGATGTAAAGAAACTGTGTGTTTACAGAACATCACTGGGAGGTTGATGGTTGGTCTGAGGTGGTGGAACCAGGTGGACGATGATGGACAAAGCCGCTGGGTGTTTGAGTCTAGGAAGGTAAAGATGCTCCTCATCTTTGGGTCTTTTCTGGGTCTTTAACCTCTCACGAGTCTGACCTCTTGTACTGTATGGAGTATGATAAATGTACTTGTTTACCGTCAGCGGGCTTCATGGTATTTGCAGATGTCCTAACTGTGAGAATATCCTGTTTTCTTCCTCAGGGCACTGGGAAGCAACAAGCATCGGATTCTGAGTCCCGGATCTTCTGGATCGGACTGATCGTGTGTCCGGTCCTCTGGGTCGTCTTCACATTCAGCACCCTCTTCTCCTTAAAGATCAAATGGGTGGTGAGTCCTCATCTTTAAGGGATTAAAGGGGTGTTATTTTCATATTTTGTCATTGTCGACAAATCTCATAAAAAGACCAAAACCCTCATTTAGTTTAGTCAGTTTCTCAAAACTTTTAAACTTCCACATCTGTGGGCTCGACATCAAACCCGTTGGTTCCTCCTGAAGATGTAAAAAAGGTCATAAAAGTATCGGTTCATCTTTAAAAAGACTGCGGATGAATCCACATTTTGTGTTCTAGTGAGTGTTGGTACGTGAGATTGAGTCAGAATAAACTACTGTGTGTGTGTGTGTGTGTTCATGGTGATGAAGGAACAACAGTGAAGCTCATTGATGAGTTCTTAATGGAGCTCAATGGCTCAGAGGAAGAAGAGACATCAGGCCGTCACACACACACACACACACACACACACACTATGGACAGTCTGGATGGAAAGATGTTTCCAGATTATTTCCCTGGTTCTGTTTTCTAAAATGTAAAATTCAGAATTTCTAAAAAGTGACTGATCAGAGTGGCATTGAACATCCCTTCTGTAGCTGTAGAAGCTGAAGATTTACAGTTATTGATATTTACTTTGACAAAAGATGAATAACATTAGTAACAGTTAACATTGTTTTAGCATCGCAGCTTTAATAAATGCATATAACTTGTTTGTATGAGATTCAGAACCTCGCTGCAATCTTCTGGGAAATGTTTGGCAACATAAAAGCCGACAATCAGAACAGAAAAATACACGTTAAGTTTGATTTTAAAGCCATTTATTTACATAATAAACATATTTGTACTCGGATGTCATACGGTTTATATCATCTACAAAGAAATAAAAATGTGGAGGAACCCTGTTTTCATTCATTGCTGTTTTTTGGTCTTTTCATGAGATTTATTGATATTAATATAAATATTCGATGCTCCAGCGTTGGTATCCACTGACTGCCTTCTTCTGCTCAGCCGGTGGTGATCATGGGCGTGGTGCTGCAGGGGGCCAACCTCTACGGATACGTACGCTGTAAAGTGGGAGGCAAGACCAGCTTAAAGAACATGGCCACTAATTATTTTGGACGACAGTTCCTCAAACAGGTGACTCTTTTTATTTTGAGTAAAAACATACTGAATATCACATTATTTGTTGTTTCACTAAATCTTCACGTCATGTTTTTCGTCCACAGGCGCTGTCTAAAGAAGAGGAATCGTAGAGCAACGCTGCGATTTTAACATGTTTGCATTATTCTTAATGCTATTATATAGATTATTTTAGTGGGTTTAATATATAGAAAGAAATCATTTTGCAACTTCAACATAAAACTAACAGTTTTTGGTTTTTTTTCCACTTCTTTTTCATGTAATGTGACTCAATCGGTCCGTCTTTGTTGCCCATAGACGTCTAGGAGAAGTTTCCAATAACTGCAGCTCAGCAGTAAAACTTTAACTGATACTTTAGCTTAAATGCACGAGTGGAAAAAGGGTTTAATGGCTTGAAACGTTTGATGTGTCGTGTAGCCTCACAGCTCCCTGAAGCATCTCATTTAGATTCTTTGCCTCTTTAACTTTAATCTTTATAAAAGTAGAAAATGGTGTTTGAGAGGTTTTGTACAAACATTTTTTGTTTGTATATGAAAGGTTGTAGTGGTGTAAAGTATTCCAGGAGCTTGTAAATATGTATGTAAAGAAACTATGTGGAACATCTTCTTTTGGTGCAAATACATTTGTAACATTTTTTCCGAACAGTGTGGTAGTTTTTATTTAAATATTATTCGCTGTACGACTTGTGAGAGAAGTTTGAGCTAAAGCTGATTAGTTTTCTCCTTCATCTCAAATAAATAATATATGAACACATATTTAATAATATTTGGCTGAGTTTAAACATGTTATTGAATTATTTTAGAGCAGAGTATATATTTCATCAGTATTTACTTCATATTTTTAATGTCTTAATATTCTGAACGCTTTGAGACCTTCAGTTGACTGCAGCGACCCCCAGCGGTTGGTTTAGGTCATTACATGTAATGTGCTGTATGTTGTACTTACTAACGGTTACAGTGTTTTACAGGTATTTTACATGTAGTATGTTGAGTTATTCATACATAATTTGGTTTGCAACATTATTTCTATTAGCCACAACAAACATGGTGTCAATTTAGTTCCGAACACCCACGTGTGTCCCAATCCAGCGGCTGCATCCTCCGGAGGACCCAGCCTTCGCGATCCACGTCGGCCTGCTCAGAAGGATAATTATATATATCTATCTATCTCTCTATATATATATATCTGTATCTCTATATCTATCTATATATCTATCTGTTGTACCTGAGCTCATGTTGGTCCGTTTATGTACATGATATGAAGTATAGATCATCTTTTCACGGGATTCGAACTCAAAAATATGATGGGGAGACGGGGGAACTGGCCATTTCTACGAGGCTTTCACCAGGACAGCTAAATCTTCTCTTCCTGTTTTCAACGGCTGTAGTAACCACGGACCCATCATTGTAACAAACGTGATGTTATAAGGTCGCATATTTAGTTTTAACATTTGTATCTGTGACATTCGAGTGAGTTGAAACCCAAAACTTAGTTACATTTAAAAGTGAATGATTCACTCGCCGCCATGTTGAGTAAAACAAATCTTCATCGGCACGCAATGCATCTTGGGATATGGTGGGCCGCGAAGGAGATCGGCTGTAGCAACGGTTGCTGAGCAGCGGAAGTTGTTTACTTCAGCTCGAAAAATGTATAATTAATGTTTGATTTCAAAAGCTTTAATATTTTGAGGTACAAAGTGTTGCTGAAGCCCATATCAGACCACGCACCTTAGACTTTCGTCAGTAAGTAAGAGATTAAACTAACTAAACAACAAGAGATGAATTCAAAACCACAACAAGCGATGAATTCAACACCAACACCACAGATGGAGGAGCTGAAGGAGATCGGGAGCATCATCAAGCCACACATCGAGGCCTTTTTTGATAGCATGACGGCAGAGCAGTGGGAACTGGTGAAAGCAGGCACCCCAGATGCCACCACCAAAGTCCTGATGGCAGAACTAGTTTTGACCTTAGTCAGCACCATGTTTAAAACCATCCTGACTGCTTTCAAAGATTCCCGTCACGCAAAACCCGGACTCTTTGCAGAGGTAGGGAGTGAAGCTGGAGTGTCTGAAGAAGACGTGAAGGACATTCTGGATGACGCAGTCTCAAGCGTTTTTGAAGAGGTATTGGACATCAAGGACAAATCCGCCTGCAAAAGCTCAAACAGCTTGAATGACCTGATCGGTGTTGAGGTTGCAAGCAAATTGAATTCTGCCCTCTCCAACGCTGTAGAGTATGGGGTCTCAGATCACATCACTCCCCCAGGAAGACTGAACAAAATGGTCCAGCAGGTCGCAAAAATGACCAAGATACTTACATCCAAGATGACAAAGTTGTTCAAACCGAGACAACAAAGTCAGAGAAGTAGTCCGTCCGTGGACCCAGATGATGAGTCTCTAGTAAACACATCCATTGATGAGGAACCAGAAACTCCGGGGAAGGACCCATCTTCTGAGAACGAAACAAGTCAATCTCTCCAAGAAATAATTGAGACGGAGTTGAAGGCCATGATTGATCTTCTCTTGGCTGAAATGTCAGACTCTGAGTTTCAGCGTTTGCAGTCTGACATCTCCCTGAAATATAAAGATCTTCAGGACCTTAGTCGAGAACTAGAGGGATTCGGGACGACAGGACGCAAAGTCAAGAGCTTTTTTACAAAGCACTTCATAAACATATGGCTAAATCGAATCCTGGGTCAACTGAAAGCAGAGAACGGCCCTATAACGCTGAAAGACTTAAAAGACTACCTCCCCACCCTGATCACATTGGATGATGACAAACAACTGGCTGGAAACCAGGGTCGTAAGCTTCCGATGTTAAAGGGACTTCCAAAAGATGAAATCCTGAAAATGGCAGCAGAGCTGACTAAGTTCCTCTTCAAACGCATGACAGGATGTTCACCACCCGGGATCATCCCAGAAGCGTCGAGAGGGAGGAAGTCTGACGGGACCATGAGCATCGCCCAGTTACATCTTGACATGTACGCAGAGATATGGGAGAAAGTCTGTACCTTCCTGGGACTCTTGAAGTGGTGGAAGAAGACTCAGGTCGAGTATGTCGCTGAAAGGACGAGACAGGCTTTAAAGGACAAGTCACCGGAACCAACAGCGTCACTGCCCGTCGACCACCAGAAGCCAACAGCGTCACCGCCCGTCGACCAGGCACCAGAAGCTGACCACCAGAAGCTTTCTGCGCAGGCCAAGGCAGAGCAAGAAGAAAGGAAGAAAATGTTTGTGAAGATCTTCGTGGAGAGGCTGGTTTCGCGGGCATTCTGGAAAGCCAAAGTGAATTTGACCACCGGGGAACCCGAGGCCATCTTTCAGCGCCTTTTTGAAAAGACGTGGGCCGAAGTCGAGGGCGTGGACTTTGACCTCTCTGCAAAAACCTTTAAGGACCTGCACAAGACCATCTTCAAACAGCTGTGCAAGAAGACGGGCAATGCAACAATGGTGCTGCTCTGTTTGAGATGTGAGGACGAGGCACTTGAAAACTACATCGTCTCCATTGTCAAAAAACACGTGACGCCACCAAAGCAGAAGAGCAGCTGCATCGTCAGGTTCTTCTTGTCCGTGGGCCGAGCCATCGCCAACGTCTGCAGGCGAGGAGCGCAGGTCGCTGTCGTGTAGGTGAAGGTTGGACTTGAGCCTCTCTGACTTTGTGTGGCGACTACGTGGAGGCAGGATGAGGAAAAATTGCATAAAAAAATAAAAAATATAATTAAATTTGCTCATCTCACTATTCATTTTTCTTTAAGAGGTGTAATTATTCAACTCAGAATAAAGTTCTGATTATCCATTTTAATAAAGTACGATAAAAAGTACCAAAATAACTTTAAGTCATGACACTAAATTAATTTCTACAAAATAACCAAAAATAACTTTTTCTCTCGAAGAACAATAACATTAAATCAAAAATCATGATCAATATCAGAGTTTCATGAACCAGTTTCAACATAAAACCTTTATTCACAGAGTTATATTATCTCTGCACATGTTCTCCATGATGGGAACTTCAGCACATTCCCTGATAAACTGTTCTGTAACGAGGTCTTATCTTAATAAATATGTTGGTAGAACACAAATCTAAACTTTGGATAAAGTTCAAAATTCTGGTTTCTCAAGACATATGTCAACAACATAGACGCATCGAGTCAAAGGTTTTTACAGAGGGAATTTTGGATATCACTCCAAAAATCTGAAAATACTGAACTCCAATACTCCACTACATTTATCTTTTCTTACTTTATATATACATATATATATACATATATATATATATATATATTACAAACTTAATATGATCCATTGTCAAGGAATCTAACTACCCAGCAGTAAACAGTAAAAATGCTTGACACATTTTTATGGTTCCAGTTTTAACAAATGTGAAGATTTGCTGCTTTTCCCTTTAATTGTTTTAATTATTTAAATTAATTGTTCATAATTTAGAGGTTTGGACAAAACAAACATTGTGAAGGTGTCACTTTGGGCTCTGGGTGATTTTTAAAAGGCAGAAATGTCAGAGACAGATTCCTCAAAGGAACCAGCCGGTAGCCAAATGCAATCTACTGTATTTGCCACTGAAACAATGAGTTGTAGCTGGTAAATTTGTCAGGCCTCCTCCTCCTGTATATATAAATATATATATATATATATATATATATACATAAATATGAATATATATATATCCACATACATACATACATATGAATATATATATATATATATATATACATAAATATGAATATATATGTATATATATATATATACACAATAATATTTAATAATATCATATATATAAATATAAATATATATGAGTCTGGTGATCGGATCACTAGACGGACCCGGAAGAGAAGTTCACATACAGACCGGAACTCGGACGATTCTACTTTCAAAATAAAGCTGATATCGCATACAGGAAAATTGACTTAAGTTAAATTAGCGTAATATACCAAAGCACAAATGAAATTTACCATTGAAGTATCACGTACGTTGATCAGGAATGTTATTGGAGTAAGAAACCAATTCGTGGGTATTTAACTCCCGTCTTCCTGATGACTTTTAGTAATATTGCGGCACAAAATTAGTTTTACTTTGAAATCTTAACCAGAAACCCGTCTTGCAGCCCTTAACCTGGCTAGCTTGACTTCGTTGCATTTAAGCTAGCTGCCCACAACAGCAGCTGTGGGTCTTCGTTGTTGACATTTTAAAGCCCTAAACCGACCCGTTTGTCGGTCTTAATTCACCAGTCGGCCGTCCGTCGATGGGAGTTACCTCCAGGATGATTCCTACCGAGGATGCGTCCTCAAGGAAGCGGGAGATAGAGGAGAAACTGAAGCAGGTCGGTCACGGCTGGAGAGGAAGGAAGCATCACAAACGAGCCTCCTGCTGCAATGATGATCACAACAGCCTTAACTTTGATGTTTAAATAGTTTTTTTTTGTGTTTTTGACACATTAAAATGTCACTTCCTACTGATAGCACGAGAGCTGTGAGTATTACTGTGTTACTATATGATATTATTATGTTACAGGAACAAGAGACTCTGTCATTCATCCGGGAAAACCTGGAGAAGAGTGACCAGCAGACCAAGGGAATGGTGAAGAGAGAGAGACACACACACACACACACACACACACACACA